TGGTTGAAGCCAAAGTCGAAACTCAAGCTTTGAAGACTCGATGGCAAGGTCACCCTCTCCAGGCTTTGGTTGAACCCATGGCCAAAACTCAAGCTTTGAAGACTTGATGGCAATGTCACCCTCTCCAGGCTTTGGTTGAAGTAAAAGCCAAAACTCAAGCTTTGAAGACTTGACGGCAAGGTCACCCCCTCGAGGCTTTGGTTGAATTTAAAGCCAAAACTCAAGCTTTGAAGGCTCGATGGCAAGGTCACCTGCTCCAGGCTTTGGTTGAACCCATGGCCAAAACTCAAGCTTTGAAGACTTGATGGCAACGTCACTTGCTCCAGGCTTGGGTTGAAGGAATGGCAAAAAGTCAATGTTGCAAGGCTTTGGGGCAAATGACGTAAATACTCTCCACTCATTGCTCCCTCAATCTTTGTTACACCTTCTAGCACAAATTCTCTCTCAGAAGTCGGGAGCCCACAGACATAACACCATGCAGTGTACACATTTGTTGGTATGTAAGTGCAGGACAGCATTGCCGATTTTCCAACAATTCCTTGCTCTCCTAAGGTTTGATTCAGCGTCACCTTGGCATTCCCATTATACACGCCGAGCTTGGCGCCTGGCTTGCATGGAAGCTTCTCCGACACCAATCTGCGCAGGTCATATCCAAGCATAGAGCAAGGGACACATTCTGTCACTCCTTCTCCAGTCAGGCACAGCACCTGAAGAACGACCTCATCAGTTTCATCTGCTGCACCTTTGTCAGTAGATGATGGATCCACATAGCCATGTTGTGCACCGGACATTCGTCAACATTTACACATTGCTCACTACTGGGCAAAGCCGAAAAATCTTCGCACAAAAAGAAGGTACAGACCTTAAATCGGTTTGTACAAAAACATTATGGGTACCCTAAATCCAGTACCCATTTTCAGCCCCCGACGTAACAGGGAACCCAAAGATGGTCATTTCCAAACTGCAGACCTATTATTGTTAGTCGCTAGCAGGAAAATACTGTCAAATTTCAGAAGGTGTTAAGGGAAGACGGCTTGATTTCAGCATGGACGATGCAACTGATTAAGCAGAAAACAGGCCCAACTTATTTTTGATCTCATTGAATGGCTGAGACCCTCCGCATCATGGTAGGCAACATTTGAATCAATAAACCGAGGTTTTAATGGGAAAATGTTCTATAATGGGTTTTTTTTCCGCACTAGTTTAGACTCTTGTGCCAGTCCAGATCTCAGCAAGAAACTTTGCAGTAGGATGGATATTTGGAGTCACTAGCAAGAAAAATATATAAAAATATAATGCCAGTAAGTTTGCGATCGATGCAAATAGTAGCACACTGGTTTGGCGATTTCCCCATTTCTCACTTACTGTCTGTGACATTCCCAGCGTTCAGTCGCCTCTATTCCTGTGGTCCATTGCATCCCTCATCGTTGATCTTAGCGAGGTGTAGTGGGGATCTGAAAAGAGAGGAAGAACCTTGTGGAGGTATACTTGATACTGTATGTGATAACAGCATACAGCATACCTCAAAATTTGAATATCCTCCAACTAAAATGGATTCCACATCTTTACCAAAAAATGGAGGGGTATTCACCGACTGAGAACTCAAAAGAAAACTGGTCCGGGTCGCCTCAAGCACCAGAGGTCGGCCCTACACATCTCTGTGAAAGCAACCCTCTTTTGCTTCCAACTCTATCTTTGGACTCATTCGCGATTGTCTCAGAAAAAAAAAACTGAGGACAGCTGGCAATACCGACCGACACCATACGTGATGAATAGCAAGCACTGAAGCTTTGAAGGCTTGATGGCAAGGTCACCCGCTCCAGGCTTTGGTTGAACCCATGGCCAAAACTCAAGCTTTGAAGACTCGATGGCAAGGTCACCCTCTCCAGGCTTTGGTTGAAGCAATCACCAAAACTCAAGCTTTGAAGACTCGACGGCAATGTCACCCTCTCCAGGCTTTGGTTGAACACATTGCCAAAACTCAAGCTTTGAAGGCTCGATGGCAAGGTCACCCTCTCCAGGCTTCGGTTGAAATTTTGGCCAAAACTCAAGTTTCGAAGACTCAATGGCAAGGTCACCTGCTCCAGGCTTTGGTTGAACCCATGGCCAAAACTCAAGCATTGAAGACTTGATGGCAATGTCACCCTCTCCAGGCTTTGGTTGAAGACAGCGCCAAAACTCAAGCTTTGAAGGCTCGATGGAAAGGTCACCCTCTCCAGGCTTTGGTTGAACATATTGCCAAAACTCAAGCTTTGAAGACACGATGGCAAGGTCACCTGCTCCAGGCTTCGGTTGAAATGTTGGACAAAACTCAAGTTTCGAAGACTCAATTGCAAGGTCACCTGCTCCAGGCTTTGGTTGAACCCATGGCCAAAACTCAAGCTTCGAAGACTGGATGGCAAGGTCATCCGCTCCAGACTTTGGTTGAATCCATCACCAAAACTCAAGCTCTGCAGACACGATGGCAAGCTCACCTGCTCCAGGCTTTGGTTGAACCTATTGCCAAAACTCAAGCTTTGAAGACTTGATGGCAAGATCACCCGCTCCAGGCTTTGGTTGAACCTATTGCCAACACTCAAGCTTTGAAGACTCGATGGCAAGGTCACCCGCTCCAGGCTTTGGTTGAAATCTCTGCCAAATCTCAAGCTTTGAAGATTCAATGGCAAGGTCACCCTCTCCAGGCTGTGGTTGAAGCAATCACCAAAACTCAAGCTTTGAAGGCTCGATGGAAAGGTCACCCTCTCCAGGCTCTGGTTGAACACGATGCCAAAGCTCAAGCTTTGAAGACTCGATGGCAAGGTCACCTGCTCCAGGCTTTGGTTGAAGCAATCACCAAAACTCAAGCTTTGAAGACTCGATGGCAAGGTCACCCTCTCCAGGCTTCGGTTGAACATATTGCCAAAACTCAAGCTTTGAAGACACGATGGCAAGGTCACCTGCTCCAGGCTTCGGTTGAAATTTTGGCCAAAACTCAAGTTTCGAAGACTCAATGGCAAGGTCACCTGCTCCAGGCTTTGGTTGAACCCATGGCCAAAACTCAAGCATTGAAGACTTGATGGCAATGTCACCCTCTCCAGGCTTTGGTTGAAGTCATGGCCAAAACTCAAGCTTTGAAGGCTCGATGGAAAGGTCACCCTCTCCAGGCTTTGGTTGAACATATTGCCAAAACTCAAGCTTTGAAGACACGATGGCAGGGTCACCTGCTCCAGGCTTTGGTTGAATTTCAAGCCAAAACTCAAGTTTCGAAGACTCAATGGCAAGGTCACCTGCTCCAGGCTTTGGTTGAACCCATGGCCAAAACTCAAGCTTTGAAGACTTGATGGCAATGTCACTTGCTCTAGGCTTGGGTTGAAGGAATGGCAAAGAGTCAATGTTGCAAGGCTTTGGGGCAAATGACGTAAATACTCTCCACTCGTTGCTCCCTCAATCTTTGTTACACCTTCTAGCACAAATTCTCTCTCACAAGTCGGGAGCCCACAGACATAACACCATGCAGTGTACACATTTGTTGGTATGTAAGTGCAGGACAGCGTTGCCGATTTTCCAACAATTCCTTGCTCTCCTAAGGTTTGATTCAGCGTCACCTTTGCGTTCCCGTTATACACGGCAAGCTTGGCGCCTGGCTTGCATGGAAGCTTCTCCGACACCAATCTGCGCAGGTCATATCCAAGCATAGAGCAAGGGACACATTCTGTCACTCCTTCTCCAGTCAAGCACAGCACCTGAAGATCGACCTCACCAGTTTCATCGACTGCAACTTTGTCAGCAGATGATGGATCCACATAGCCATGTTGTGCACCGGACATTCGTCAACATTTACACATTGCTCACTACTGGGCAAAGCCGAAAAATCTTCGCACAAAAAGAAGGTACAGACCTTAAATCGGTTTGCGCCAAGACATGATTAACCAATTTTCGGTACCCTAAATCCAGTACCCATTTTCAGCCCCCGACGTAACAGGGAACCCAAAGATGGTCATTTCCAAACTGCCAGAGACCTATTATTGTAGTCGCTAGCAGCTGCCTAGGGCGCAATCCATTCTGATGGCAAATAGCCACAAAAAATGTCGCGCTGGTGAAAATACTGTCAAATTTCAGAAGGTGTTAAGGGAAGACGGTTTGATTCCCGTACCGGGCTTTTCTGCACTTTTACACTGACCGTCGCCCTTGAAAGGTAGTCCGAACACTTTGGGTTGTCACCTTTAAGTGATGAACTAAAGTTTGGCATCGTTTTTTGGTCTTGTCCCTTCTGAGAAACAAGCATGGACCATGCAACTGATTAAGCAGAACACAGGCCCAACTTATTTTTGATCCCATTGAATGGCTGAGACCTTCTGCATCATGGTAGGCAACATTTGAGTCAAACTTCCGCTGGGTTTGCCCAAAACGATCTACAGTTTTCCATTTTATGTCCATTTCAACAGGAACAATGGGGGATGTACCCTCTCACAAGTTAGGCTAGCTTGGTGGGTTTCAATTACCACTTATTATATGCATAATTATATATATATACAGATAAACAACATGATTACATGATCTTACCATCAACAATGGTGGCTTTCGGTTGTAAGCTTTTGAGTGCCGAAGGTTTGGTTGAAATTCACTGTATGACAGTGTGCATTCTCCACATGCCAGTAGTTGCCTTCACTTCATGGTTGAAAATGATATATAAGTCAATTCGGGTGAGGTACAAAAAGATATGCCACAGGGGTAATGGACTGTAATAGACACATGTGAAGATGTTCAGCAAGAACAGCAAAGGACATCTTTGAGATTACTGCCTGTATTCAAAGCTGACCTCGCCTCTTTTCTTCCATTTCGAGACTTGACCCAGAAATAGTCCACAAAAGCGTGTGCATACAAGACATTTGCTACAAGATTCAAGAAATTATACTATGTGTGTATGTGCATATACTATATAACTAATCAGAACATTTCATGTCATATATTCTCCAAATGAGCAGCACCCCTTCCCCATTTTTGACCTCCCGGCCCGGCACCTCAAAGAAGTCGTGGCAGAAGGGAGCCGTCACCTGCAAGGTTCCCTGGGCGTCCAAGGGCAGGTTCTCCAAAACGCCCCAAGCCTTGGTGAAAACGCCATGGGTTTCACCAAAAAAATGATCTCAGTAGCTATTGAAAATGGCCATTTATAGTGGATTTACCCATTAAAAATGGTGATTTTCCATAGCTATGTTAGTTTACCAGAGGCTAGGGCCTTTCCACTGGGTTTTGGTGGATCTGTGTCAGAAGTTTGGTGGTTCTATCACAACTTTTGGGACGTATATGCCCAGTTTGCTGGTGAAATTCTCATCTTTGGGGTGTTCCAAGATCTGCATTGCTTCAAAGCCCTTTCTTTCTGGTTGATAGTACATAGGAACCCCCAAAAAAAGAGAAGGTTATATTCACCACTATAGTGTGGTAGGATTTTCTTTTAATTTATCTCTTCGGGGCTGCTATACCTATTATCCGATTTTCGTCCCACTATCCCCATGAAGTCACCATTCAAATTCCCATTTCAACCCCGCAGGTTCGGGATTACTAAATCAAAGTATCCCATCATTAAACATTCTTAATATCCTAATATATCCCATTATCAAATTTATATAATATAATATAATATAATATGATATTATATAATATAATATAATATAATATATAGTATAATATAATATAATATAATAATACAATATAATATATTATATTATATCATATTATATTATATTATACTATATATTATATTTTATTTTATTTTATTGTATTATATTATATTATGTTATATTTTAAATGATACTATATTATATTTTTAAATTATATTATATTGTATTTTAAATTATATTATATTATATTACATTATATTTCATATTTTATTATAAATTATAAATTATATACTATATATTATATATTCTACATTATATATCATATATTATATTTTATATATTATATTTTATATTTTATATATCATATATTATATATTATATATTATATATTATATATTATATATTATATATCATATATTATATACTATGTACTATATATTATATATTATATATTATATATCATATATTATATATTATGTATTATATATTATATATTATATATCATATATTATATATCATATATTATATATCATATATTATATATTATATATTATATATTATATATTATATATTATACATTATATTATATATTATATAATATTATATATATTGTATATATTATACATAATATATAATATACAATATATATATAATATTATATATATATTATTTTTCATATATCATATTATATTATATACATATATTATTGTATATAAATGTATGGTATGGTATGGTACCTGTATGGTACCTGTATGGTTCCTGTATGGTACCTGTATGGTTCCTGTATGGTACCTGTATGTATGGTATGTATGGTAGGTATGGTATGTACGGTATGTATTGTACTGTATTGTAATGGATGGATGGAAGGGATGGATGGGATGGGATGGGATAGGATTGGATGAGATGGATGGATGCATGGATGCACGCATGCCAGTCTGTCAGTCAGTCAGTCAGTCAGTCTGTCTGTCTGTCTGTCTGTCTTTTTATTGTGGGTTGCGATAATATTTGCTGCCAAAACCCAACCAGGTGCTCTTGGTGCCTTCCTTCGCCCAGTCACTGCCAAGGATTGGATCCAACAGCGGTAGGCCTGGTCACGTTGGTCCTGCGGCCCAGTGGCGATTCTACTGCAGATATGATTAGCTAAGTTGGTTGATAACTCCAAAAACTGCTGTTGATGTTAGATAATGCAGATACATCTATAGTTCATGGGTATAACGGGTATAAACTATAAACCAACTCATAACCAGGGAGGCCCATCTTATATTTGCTACCCACACACTAACTGGTTTGACATCCTGCTGTAGAGCTGAAATTAGATGTATAGTTCCCTAAAATCAGATGGCAGGAAAACAACATCAAAATGATAGGGAACCGAAATTTCTATTTTGTTGGTTCTACATGCCTGAAAATCTAGTAAGTAACAATCAAGTGTGGGAATAAGCAAAATGTTGATAGCCAAAGTGGTTTGTCCCATGATTTTGAGACAAAGCCAAATATCATTTGATTGGTGAAGCTAAAGATTATCCCATTATATATATATACATATTATATCCCAACAATATGTGTATGTATATATATATATCCATAAAGTACTGTATCCCGAATGCATCACACTCGGAGAAACCCACTTGGAAAGTTAGTTATATCAGTTTTATCAGTGCTATATACCATTCAATTTCATATGTCCATTAGTTCTCAATTCTGTTTGGTGCTTGATATTCCCAGCGGTCCGGCGATGTGCGCTGCTTCTTTACCATATCAAAGGCCACCAGCAGCTCGCGGGGAAGGTCTGGGCCGTCTGGGCCATGGCCCCAACAACAATAGGGACTGAAGCGTGAAGAATGGTGGTTGAAACGTGAACAATTGGCAAATTGGGATTCACCTTAAGACTTGGGGGTTGTAACTGATTTAATCATCAAAACTGGTGGTTTCTTCTCAAACGAAAACGGTTTTCAATGCTAGAATTGGCGGTTTTACATGATATTTACAAATGCTTGGGCTGGTGATTACTGATAAATGTCACCTCTGAACATTTTCCAACCTCCGTTGAGATAGACCGTTGGTGTAAAAATAAGCACGGGACAAAACTTGGGACACCCGGACGCACAGATTTGGTGCTAGTTCCTATTCACCACCAAGTGTTGGGGGTCATAGTTTTTAGGTTTGTCCAAAGTGGGATCCCAAAAAGGCCCTTTCAATGCAGAAAAATGTTGATCATCCTTTCTTCAGCGTGTCAAGGCGTCTGTCGTGAAAAGTTCTGGGACAAAAGTGTCTTTCTATAAAAGCTTCTGTGTCCAAAAGTTGCTTTGTGTCAAAGATTGTGTGTTCAAAACCTTGTGTGTGTGTGCCTGCATCTAAAAGTTGGATGTATAAAGATGATTGTGTGTGAAAAAGCTTGTGGATGCAAAAGCTTCTGTATGCAAACCAGCCGTCTGTGTGCCCATCAGAAGTCCAATTGTGTCCCTTGCTTCCCACCTGGCGCGGACTTTGGCAGCCAGTTGCCTGTCACGAGGGGTTGCGACTTGGGCGGCATTCCCCTGCAGAATGCCCACCTCAATGGCTAATATATTATGCTCAATTATTAATGATGGTTATATAATGGTTAATAGTGGTGATTAATGATGATTACCCTCACCTAACCAAACGTGGCAAATGGAAACCCCCGAACTAAATGGAGGTTTCAAAGGGAAAATCCTCTATAAATGGGTTTGCTCTCTGGTAAACTAACATTGCTATGGAAGCCATGGCCATTTAGTTCGCTGATTTACCTGTGAAAAATGGTGATTTTCCATATCTATGTTAGTGTACCAGAGGCTACTGTACCTGATAAAAATGTGGATTTTCCACTCCTGGTTTGCTGGGGATAATCAACTTCAAGATGGAATTTGTCCTGGGAGTGGGTTGTCAATTCCTGCTGGGTCAACGGGGACTTGAATCACCAACAGTGATGACTTTTGCCAAGAATGGCTGTGTGACACCCAATAAACATACCGCAATATCCCCATTTTGTTGGACACACCCCGCAATTTATCCATTGCTTATCCCCCAAAATCTAAACCTTAAATGGATAGTTTGTGGTAAAACTAACTCTAACTATACTATATAACATCATGGATAAATCCCCAGCTACGTCAGTCAAATCATCCCACCATCCACGCCTTGGGACCCCGCGGACCCGGCATCTTGCGGCATGGGGCGTGGCACTTGGACGACGCCGCCTGAGGTTTATCAATCACTGGAGTGGTTCATCATGATGGTTAATAATGGTTAGTGGTTAATAATGCTTAATGCTTATAATGGTTAATAACAGTTAATAATGGTTAATAGTGGTTAATGGTCAACAATGGTTAAGAATGGTTGATTATGGTTAATAATGGTTATGCAACCAGCAATGATAGATGAAGAATGGATAACTGGAATAATGTGGTACACCCAACAATAAACCTACCATTTGGGGATGGCAAACATACTGTGTATAAAATCGTCATATTAGGGATGGTTTATGGCATTGGGTTTACCACAGTAAGGTAAAATCTACAGGACACCATGATTTTGACCATCAACACAACTGGTTGGGGCTTCCTGCACATTGTGGCTTCAACCAATCCAGTGAATCAAGCAAAATTGGGAGTTACCGCTGGCAATTTAACACTTTGCGAAATAAAAGCCATGGCCCATTTAGTTCGATGATTGGCCTCTTAGACATGGTTTCCACAGCAAACTTTTGAATTGCCAGAAAGTAGTGATGCAACATATGATCACAACTGGGAGATCTTGATACCTCAACTCGAGATCGGCTTGTCTTGAAAGTATGGGGAGAGGTCGTGCAAAGGAATCTCGGCTCAACCCAAATGAAACCAGTAAGAGTTCTTTCGGTGAGGCATTTCCCTACTGAATTCTTTGGGCTGATTCTCTGGGTATGTCAACTCCCTTGAATGGAGTGGCTTTCACTATCGACTACTTGGACGTGCATGGCAGCTGAGTGATCATAACCACCGCTATTTCACTATTTCACACACTTGATACAAGAAATATCTCTGTCTAAATGTTGATCTAACCCTGACTACCCAACTTTGTAGATTGAAATGACATGACTGGCGATATCCCACAGCAAGCTGATTAACATCCAGTTTGGTTACCATCCCACACCAACTTGGACGGCCTGGCATCGGAATTGCATTCACGGTCGCTGAGCCCAGTGATCTAGGCACAGGTCCATAAAGCACCTTCCCATGGAGGAAAAACATGGAAAAACCCCTGCGGTCCCGGTCGCTTCGGCGTGGGTGTTTTCGGGTTGCTCTGGGAAGCAGTCCATCGAGACTTCACCTCAACACTGGAGAAAACTCTGCCTGATTTGGCGGCACTGGCGCTCGCATTGGCGCTTGCGTTGGCGCAAACACACCAGCGTAGCCAGTCGTCATGGCAAAACCATGGCCGGAGCCTATCATTCCAGCGATTTATGTGCAGAAAGCACTAAACCAAGGGCCGGGACACACCAGGCAGGGAAACCAACTTGCGGGGGACATGCCGGAGTTCCATTGTCCTGCTGGTTTCACTGGGAATTGCGAATTATGAGGCGAGCTTCTTGTAACCGCTTGATTTCCATGATAATGCTTTGAGCCGACAGCATCTTATCTTCTGCAAGATAGAAAAGGAACTGTTTCTCACGAATACAAGTGTTTCCGGAAATGGGTGGATTCCCAACCTCCACCAGCTGATAGACTTTCCTGGTGGAAGAAATCCATGTGTTGCTGGCTGCATTCCTAACTTCCAGGCTGCTTGTCGCCAGCTGGGAGAGCTATACTCCATGCGCGGAGATCAGCTAGGTGCTTCTCTCAACTTGGGTACCCCAAAATAAACCACTGTTTTCCCCACCAAGAATGACCAATGTTGGATGATTTTGGGGTTCCGCATTTTAAAAAAAACACACCAAAGTTTCATACAGCCGCCAATCTGTCCTGAGAGAGTCATGGAGCTGGCTGTGCTGCGCCCAGTTCTTGGCAAAGCACTCCTGCTGATGCGGCAATAATTGCGGACCATATCTGATCTAGTTTCACACATCAGAAAGCAGCAGAAATGAAGATTTCATGAACTGATTATGGGCTTTCGCCACCAATCCAAATATAGCCGGAATGGGAACGTCACCAAGAAATCATTGCAATATGATATTGTTAATCAAATACACGTATTGGTGTGTCCAAAATTAGAAAATGCTCCCAGACACCAGCTGGCTTGACATGTGCCAACCTATGACTATATCTTTGGCAACACCGCTACTCCCAAATGAACGTATCCCTCCTATCGATTTGTAGTACAGTAATAGTCACAGTGAAGGTACTGAGTACCCACAGCCTCCTATCCTCCAAAGCATTCCAATGCGCTCACACACACTCTTTCTTGAGCGAGCACCAGCGCGCACGGCGCAGCTGGATGGGTTGAGGTTTTTGAAGTCTTTGGGGCTACAAAATAAAGAGTGCCTTGCTTGCAAGGAAATGCACTGCCCGGCACTATGGCTACACAGCTACAGCCCCCAACTTCTTGGGTTCCGCCTGGGCTCATTAACACAGGCCACACCTGTCCTGTGGCGAAAATCCTTGGCCTTACTGGTCCATCACCAGGGAGTAGTTCTCACGATGAAGCTTGGCAAAAGCCAAAGCAGCCACCGTAAAAACAGGTGTGAGGACTAGCACTGGATGATCCATCAAGCTCCTTCGACGGGTTGGCCACATGTCCCATGTAATATCTTACTGTCTTCTGATGATATATCCAAAAATGTTGCCCAACCAACAGATGGAGGGATAAAGTCCATGCAACAAAAATTTGAAAGCATCATAACCATCTGGTGAAGTGGTATTTCAAATCCGCCGCACACATGTTGCATCCCGTATCCTGGCCCTTCCTGCTTTCTTTCCCTGCCATTGGTCCATCAGGGTGGTCTGCGAAGCCATGATCTCAGGTGCCCTCCCCACCTTCCTGGTGCCAAAGATGCAGTCCCACAAGCCGCCAATGGACGTGAAGGTGTAGTTGCAGCCCTTGTGGCCCTCATGGTGCCAGTCATGATGATGCGGCATCTGGGCAAAGGGCAGGAACCTCTGTAGCTGGTGGGCCAAGTTCAAGCTGCAGCTCACGCCAGAATGCTTCTCCAAGCTCTCAAAGATGCGGATGAGGTGCGAGAACCAGAAGCTGCCGCGATCAAGAGGAAGAAGCACTTGTGCACAAAAGTGCCCAATCACCGCATTGCCCAGGTTATCCAACCAGTGATCATCATACGTGTTGCGGGACAGGGGATGCTTGGCCCAGTGGTGGTAGGAGTGGATCTTCTCCCAGAGCCATGGCACCACATGCAGGGCCCGGTGCATCCAATACATCCCGAAGGACATCAGGTAGTGGTTGGCCACCAACCGCACAGCGCGTTCCCGCAACGGCGCAGCCACCGAGCTGGCCGGGTAATAGCCGGGGATGGCGTAGTACAGCCCCACATTGAAGGCAAATTGGCTGATTAAGGTGAGCCTTAGGGCAGTTAGGCTTACCCTGGTAACCCTCTATTTCTATCTATTTTTAACTTTTGACCCGTCGAAATGGTTGAAGCCGCCAAAGGATCAGAGTCATTATGGGCATTTAGGAAAATCTACCACTGAGGGGGGTTGACTTTACGGATCAGTAATTTTGACTCAAACAGCACCTGTCATGGTAGATGATCGTCTGCAATTCCTGCATGTCGCGGCCACACAAATCCTTCTTGTTCTTCAGAGCGTGTTCTCGAGACGGCTGCGTGCGGAATTGTGGGAAGCTGAAGAAGACGGCTTCCAAGTAGGTGTTGTAGACCCGGGTCACCACTGCCTACACAAGAATAACGCTCAAAAATGGCATACCAATTTGTCACTGGAACATGCTGGAATCACAAATATGATTGAATTCTCGCTCTGAACGATCCAATTTTGGGAGCACAAGCTTCCCTCAAAAAAAAACCTGCAGGTTCGAAGCTCACGGGAGAACTATGTAAACCAAATATATTCTGCTAATTCTGGTGGCCCAAAATGCACCAACCTCTAGGTCCCTGTTCCATCATTCCAGTACCCCGTGATAAATCAACCATTTTTTATGGTATCTAATATGCATCTCCCCAATTTTCAATTGTTCTAGATCCCCATGTCTATTGGTTGCATCCCATTTCTGGTGGTGAACTATCCCCAGTTTGGTCGTGTATCTGAAAAAAAGAGAATGATTTCAATGTCGGATCAAAAATCCCGCGGAAATTTCATGAAATCCCAATCGCCATCTTTGCTGCTTAAATCCCATGAAATCACCGTTACATGGGTCAAAAAACCGCAACCTCCAGGGCCCCTCCTTGGTGCAGAGGAAGGCGGCCAACTCCTTCAGGCTCCAGGAGCCCTTCACGTCCACCTTCTCGGAAGGCAGCAGCCAGGCAGCAGCCACCAGACCTCCCAGGCTGCCCAGTTCCAACAGGGTCAAGGGCAGGTCGCCACTCAGCAACCTGGGCAGCCAAGTGTCACAAGTGTCACAATCCAAAAACAAGCCGAGTCAGGACTCACTGGATAAAGTAGTTGCCAAAAACATTCAGAAACTGTACAGTATAAGATGTGAATATTATTGAATATTACCGTTATATTTGAAGAAAAACAGAAACTGTCGGAACGTTCTGGATAGTCACAATGAGGAGAAGTGTTCACGAAAGTTCAACTTCTCAGATGGATATTCCATGGTGTAGGCCGTCTCCTTGGACTGTACCGTCATGCTATGGAAAATTGAACGGGGCCACACTGTGAGATCTCAAAAACTGCGGAGAAACATGATTGTTTGGAAGCCACCCTGGGAAAAAATTGGGGAAACACAAACACATGAATGATTTTTTCACACGCACAGAAGGCACACCCCTACACCCCTTAGCTGTTGCTATGAAATGTGACACATAGCTGTGACATGTGGATTCTGCATACATTGTGGGTAGCCAATGGTTTCATCACTGAGCGCCCACAGAGATGATCAATGTTTGATTTTCCCCAGGGCCATCCCTTCGGCCTGACCACAAAAGAAAGAGGTCTGGCCCAGCCTCCGCAACAAACGGGGGTTTTCCTACGACCTCTATGAAGAAAACATGATATATGTATAATATAATGGAACATCGGCTATAACGGGTATCTATACCCAACAAAAAAAATGAGACCCTTTGGTGTTATCAAACATGGTTGGCTGGGAAATGCACCCACAAAAGAAGGGTTGTAGCTGCATTGTAGCTGCATGGGGGATTTTCCAGACATGTTTGATTACCAGAGGCTATTCAGCAAGGTCATTAAAAAAAAAAGGTATTCTGATTGCCACTAGGTTTTTTAATCATGGCAATGGGTGATGGGATTTTGGAAGAATTGCAACAACATGGGTTTGTCTGAAATTATGATTTTTGCATATTTCTGCCCAATATATCTAGCCATTTCAATGGGAAAATGATCATCAGCCATCATTTTTTTAGGTTGTTTTTCCCACAATTGTCAGACAAACCCATTTCAAAAATGTTCTAATCTGCGTTGTCGGATCTTGGTGTCCCCACTCTATGCAAGTTGGGCAACAGAGACGTGTCTCTGAATCTCGACCACAGCCCTGCGCGGAAAGCACATATCTGGACAAGAATCAAATGCAATGAGGGTCCCCAGAGCCTTCTTGGTACCCAAATCAACCAAAATCTTGAAAAATGGACTGTTGAATTGATTACCACAGCTATGAGCAACATGGTTTTTGCACATCTGAACATCCGCTGCCTGGCATGACATCGCGGTCTACATCATATTTTCAACGTGCCCTGCACCACGAAACATTGTTTTGTCAAGGCATATGTTTCTAGCCAGTGAAACACCGAAAACAAAAACCACCAATCCCTTGTGTGTAGGTTTGTACGTGAATGTTCAAGGGAACATGATGGCACCATATGTTTTGATCAATTTGCAAATAGTCGGTTTTGATTCGCAATCATGCGCGCCTGTTTGGGCAAAAATGTCCTTCAGGCAATGTCACACCAACATACGCACATACATTACATGACGTGACGTGACCTGACATGACATGACATGACATTACATTATATGATATATATATATGTTATATTATATCATATTATATTAAAGTAAATTATATTGTGATATATCATGATATATTATATTATATCATATTTAAAAAAAAATATATTTATATAATATGATATTATATTATATTATATCAAATTATGTTATATCATATTATATTACATTAGATTATACTTTATTATATCATATTTTATTGTATTATAATATATTATATATTATATTATATTATGTTGTATTATATTATTTTATATCATATCATAATTTATTATTGAATATTATCGAAGGAAGTTTAAAAGCCAAATTTCCGA